TACGTTAGCAAAGTTGATTATCACAGTGCTGGCAAGCACGACCGTTGCATTTATTGTGGGTATACTATGTTCCCCATTTACTATTATACCCCCTTTACTATTATACCCCCTTTACTATTATACCCCCTTTGGTACACGTTACAAGCCTCTTTTGTGCACGCGAAGCGTGCACTCCGGCCGGAGGCGGCGGCCGAAGGCCGCCGCCTCCGGCAGGAGTTTTCCAGGCATTAAGACTCATCGGAAGTCGTTAAGCAGAATTATTTTTAGTTCAAAACATTCTAATTTGATGTCAAAGATGACAGGAATAAAAAATAGTTATGTTGAGATTTTTAAGAAATTTGCATAAAATACTCGCCAGCACTGAGTTAGAGATCTCAACTCATTGAGTTAGAGATCTGAAATTTTTCAGGGCGTCTAGACGCTGATCAAATCGACTGCAAAAAAAGTTTCAGGTTTCAGGAGCATCGGGAAATGGGTTTTCTAGAACCCCTGTTTTACGACAGATTGTCGTGATATATATATACATACATATTCAGGGATAGACGCTTTGCCAGTCAATTGTAGCCTGTATTTAATTGTCCATAGATTCAAAAGTATAAAAGATAAAGCCATTTCCGACCACAGGTCTTGCAAATAATTGTTTACACTTTAGTTTACATTGTATAAAAAAATTATTTGACGTCATAAACACCCCTTGATGACGTCATCAAGTTAACCGTTTTTAAAACTTGATTTTTGACAAAGTAATAACTTTTAAAATTAATTTTAAACCATTAAGGAGTAATTTTATTCAAAATCTGAGGAGATTTTCACCTTAGATAATTGTTCAAGCATTCTGAAAATCTACCGGAAAGTTTTTCTAGCTTGCTCCTTCATAAAGATATTCGTCATTGAAGTTTGTGCTTTTTTGAAGAATTATTTTATAAAAACGTCAATTTTGCGATTTAGTATTCTCTGGTGTTGGGCCATGCCTTGAGTTGAGGAGCTCAGTTCTGCTTCCTATAGGTATAAATTGTGCATAAGGCTAGTTTTGAAGTTGAAAATCGAAAAGTTGCACACGTGGGGACACGCCCAAATTGATAGAAAATTGCTAAAATCACTGAAAATTGCTGTTTTCGTCATTTTCTGTCAACTTTAGAGTGCCGTTGTGATTACAGTTCTTCTTAAAATACTTTGAAACTTTGCATGCTTATCAAGCTATATATAAAACAATTACATGCAAAAATTTACGGCGATTCAATATTGGATGCGCACGCAACGTCCGCTCAAAGTTTGCACGTGCGAAAGGTGAGAATTTTGCTCATTCGTGATTTCCAACAAATTCTGCTTTGCCACGACAGTTTAATGTCATTATATATGAATTTAATGCCAACTTGAATGAGTATTAGGTGGCATATTCAGTCAGTGATCGACCGATATGCTTACCTAAACACAAGGAAAAATTTCGAAATCGTTGAAACTTCCTCCTTATTAATTAATGAAGATATCAGTTTATATTTCGACTTTATAAAGTACCCTGACATTATAATCAAAAAGAGATGATATTTTACCAAAACCCATATTCACGGGTAGAGTGGACCGCTGCCAGTGTCTCTCTTTCCCAAACAAAAGGAAATGATATTAATTTGATTGACCGTTCTCAAATGCAAAATGATACCGAGAATGAAATCGGTCGCTCGCTTTTCCCATTCATTTACAATTGTAATAGATTAAGAAGATCTACCCAAAGGCAGCTGTACTCGGCAATAAAGATTCAATAAACTTCAGCTAATTCAATAAGCAATAACTACTACCCTTACCCCGAAATACTAGGTATCGATCCGAACGCAACCCAAAGAGATTTTTACAGCATCTGACTGATGTAATCAATCGAAATTTATTACAATTCGTAAGCCGTGAATGAATGGAAAAAGCGAGCGACCGATTTCATTCTCGGTATCATTTTGCATTTGAGAACGGTCAATCAAATTAATATCATTTCCTTTTGTTTGGGAAAGAGAGACACTGGCAGCGGTCCACTCTACCCGTGAATATGGGTTTTGGTAAAATATACTAATATACTTATGCCTATGGTTGACATGCATAACTTGGACGATTAAGCCTAAAGCTCAGCTACATTTCAAGATATGTGCACGCGAGGCCGTAAAAGATGACGTGGGTAGGCAAACACGCTTCATAATTGGGATAGTACTGTTGACTGTACTATCTAGTCCTAGATTCGGACAAAGTAGCTATTAAAATTAATTTTGTAAAGTGGATTTCCTAATATATATAATGAACTATCAATACTTTTAGTAAAGTACTTCTAGTTCTTCAAAAGGTTTTAGTCGCTCAGCTTCGTTTCATACATATTTACCGGTTCGTTTTGTTTGTGATAAGTACGTCAAATTCTACTGATATGAATTAGTAGTCCTAGTACAAAAGTTTATTTTTTTGACGCGGGTACCTTAGTCCTTACCGTCAAACATTCAAGAATGAGGTAAAAACTATAAAACAAGAGTTTTAATACATAATAATGAGACGAGGCATTAAATTATTTGCATGTTTGCGTCGCTGTACACTTTTGTATAATTGTAAACTAAAGTCTAAATACTTAAATCAATATATTTTTAACATATTAAGGTCTTAATTTGACGGATGTTACTCGTCTAAATTTCGTTGAAGTAGCGCGCGCCGCTTTATTCTCGAAATGTTGTCCCGATGGCAAGTGCTACGTTACTGAACGGCGCTCATGGCCTGTCATTCCGCCGAATTCTCTATGACTATAATTATATTTATGAACATAAATATAATAGCCTGGTGTCCCCAGGTAAGTAGCACGATGCACTATATACTTGGGTCGCGCATCAAATAATGTTTCTTGCAACCATTTCGGTAGATCGGCAAGATGCACCATGGGCCACGTTGTATCACGTGTTGTAGCGCGATGCACTACTGGGTCGCGCACGCATCAAATAATGCTTCTCGCAACCATATGCAGATCGGCGAGATGCGAAGGATTGACATCGTGAATCAATATCACGTGGTGACCCCCACGGTTGTATCACGTGGTGACCCCCACGGTCGCTTCACTTATTCACTATAGTCTTCGACGATACAGGGGGAGCCGCGCACTTCGTGCGCGGCGGGTCATACAACGTATGACAAGGGCCACGCCGAGCTGCGATTGATAACGGGTGATACTCGTAAAATATCTGTTCCATATATTGGACCGTCGACGAGTCCAACTTTGATTCACGATGTCAATCCTTCGCAGCTCGGTGAGGCACAGTGGTGCATCTCGCCGATCTACCGAAGATGGTTGCGAGAAGAATTATTTGATGCGCGGCGCGACCCAGTGTTGCATCACGCTACAAAGTCCAACTCGGAGCGCGTCCTGGTAGGTTGTAAACCTACAACGATTACTGGGCGGCGCTCAGCCTGTCATTCCGCCGAATGTTTATGAACATAATACTAATAGCCTGGGGTCCCCAGGTAAAGCTGCGAAGGATTAAAGGATTTCAATTGTCAATGCCTCAATCTTATTGTCTTAATATGAAGTCAACTCCCGAATCTCGGCAAAAAAGAATTTGGCAGATGTCCCCTTAAGCTAGTCTCTTGCACTCGGTTCTCTCCATATAAAAGCTAGAAAAGCGCGCCGCGCATATGGATTGGCGCACCTGGTAACAATTAAGTTGACTGTTTTAAAACTTGACCATTAGGCTCGGGGTAACCACAAACTTGACCATTAGGCTCAGAGTAACCACCAACTTGACCATTAGGCACAGGGTAACCACCAACTTGACTATTAGGCTCCGAGTAACCACCAACTTGACCATTGGCATTAGGCTCAGAGTAACCACCAACTTGACCATTACGCTCAGAGTAACCACCAACTTGACCATTAGGCTACGAGTAACCACCAACTTGACCATTAGGCTCAGAGTAACCACCAACTTGACCATTAGGCTACGAGTAACCACCAACTTGACCATTAGGCTCAGAGTAACCACCAACTTGACCATTAGGCTCAGAGTAACCACCAACTTGACCATTAGGCTCAGGGTAACCGGCAAATTGACAATTGGCATTAGGCTCAGAGTAACCACCAACTTGACCATTAGGCTCAGAGTAACCACCAACTTGACCATTAGGCTACGAGTAACCACCAACTTGACCATTAGGCTCAGAGTAACCACCAACTTGACCATTAGGCTCAGAGTAACCACCAACTTGACCATTAGGCTCAGGGTAACCACCAACTTGACCATTAGGCTCAGAGTAACCACCAACTTGACCATTAGGCTCAGAGTAACCACCAACTTGACCATTAGGCTCAGAGTAACCACCAACTTGACCATTAGGCTCAGAGTAACCACCAACTTGACCATTAGGCTCAGAGTAACCACCAACTTGACCATTAGGCTCAGAGTAACCACCAACTTGACCATTAGGCTCAGAGTAACCACCAACTTAACCATTAGGCTCAGGGTAACCACCAACTTGACCATTAGGCTCCGAGTAACTGCACCGTTGACCGTACCAACTTGACCAAGTATTTCCCAGTATTCATATGGTTTACAACTTGTAGTTACAGAGCTACGCAGAAAGAGTGCAATAATTGACCTAAGAGACAGGATATTTAAATGGAACAGCATTAATGTCAAATAGTTCATATTAATAATCGGGGCGGGATCGAGCCATCCCGGTTTTACAGCTGCCATCTCTTAATGAGTTCCGTTACCTTTTGAGTTGCTTTAACCCACAAAAACGGGACTAATTGTACTTGTAGACAATTCAACTGTCTGGGAGGGAAATGACGCAGGATAGGGGTGCTAAATATGTGCCACGAGGTAGCTAAAATAGGTTTTTTTACAATTCACATTTGATTAAAACTCCGCATTCAACAAGGAAGGAAGCGGTTAAGTCTCAGTTTATGCAAATTAATCGGTTACACAATTTAAGTAAGCGACATATTCGAATATAAATGCGTCTTCCGTCTGTAAAATTCTGTAGGAGTAATGAAAATGTCAACGAACCCCTATTTAATAGAACGATCTTAGTTCAGTTACTGACATATATTTGCCTTGCGATTGTAGTTACATTTAATGCGAGCTGTAGCTTAGCCTCCAGTTACAAGACCTCTGTTGATGCTGCAAGAAATAGGGTATGAGCCAGAATTTCAATATACTTTGTACTTTAATTTATTTATTATTGACCATATAATGCATATTATCCTTATGTTTCAGACTGTAAGTTTACGCATAGATAAAAGCTACTTTTATGAATAGCAAGCCCCCGTTTTTCAGTCACTACATGATAGTTATCAGGACATAAAACAAACACATTATCTTATATACAAAAAATATGAATCAAAAATTTAACGAAGCTACCACATTAATAGTTTCTTCATCAGTTAATGTAACAATTAAATGAAGCCAGTGAGGGTCTAGCGGAATTCATTCCGAAAAACTGAAGCATTATTATCTATCGAAGGGTTGTCTATAATACGGGGTGGCCGCGATTTACTTTTTAAAATAATTCCTAAACGGTGCAAAATAATTAATTTCTGTAAAAATCGATATTCTCCAATGAATAACTGATTTTAGTCTCGGTTGCTAGAGAACCAGCTATGGTTTAGCATTTATGTTGCTATGGTGGACGGTGGTCATGGTTACCTCTAAAACTCAGAATCCACCTTTAAGAACTTTTACTTCAAAAAGCTTTATAATTATACAGAGATGAATTATATTGCACTTTTTAAGATATTATTAAAAAAGTTAATCGCGGCAGGACCCTGCGGCTCCCATTGCATTATAAGCAAAGCCTTAAAAACTTCCATTTAGGGTCACAAAAAGAGAGATAGGCTGATCAAATTGTTTTACCCTTAATCAAGAGCCGGGAAACTTAACTAACTATGCAGACGCAAACTCGGTAAATTATAAAGTTCAGTACTTTCCCATTAATAAATAGAGTCTGAGGCAACAGCTGAGAGTGAAGAGGTTGGTTAGATGAAGAGTTGGTTTTTCAACGGTCAACCTCTCCGAATACCAAATCCATCGTGCCTGAAAGATTCGAACTTTTAAGGACAACTTAAAAAGGTAAGGTGTTTATGGTTCACCACATATTGTGGTGTTACACTTTGTATTTAAGTTATATATTATTTAACTAATTTCTACAATCAAATACAATAATCATATCTAATATTGGGGATGGAAAATTGCCGATTATTCCTGTATACTGTGTAATATTTCAATATATTTTTAACGGCCGCTTAAAATTTGAAAATAGCTGACCGATGATAGCGACGATATCTGCGATGTAGAAGCCTCTAGCAACATCCTTCATTGCACCTAGATGATAGAAACCAGGAGGCCGGATCTTACAACGGTACGGTTTACTGCTGCCGTCCGATACCATGTACACACCAAACTCGCCCTGAAAATAAAGTAGAGGTTCAATTGAGGTTGCAAGTTTTTGAGGTTGAAAAGAAATCCATATTACAATTTGTGTTCCATTTATTTTATTTAATAGTAGTTATAATGTATTGTTTTTGTATATTAGAGCTTTAGCCACAGGTAGGTTGGTCTAAGTAGGTAGTGCGCCATCGACAGTGAGCCGCGCGTGCCGACTGTAGGATTGTTTTTTAGCGATAATTTCGGCCAGCACAATTTTCTTCAAACAAATAGATATTGAGTATCCTTCCCGACCTCCGATTGCAACAAAAATTGGTAAGCTTACTCATAGACTTACAAGGACAGTGTCTGAAAAATTTGAAGCATATCCAACCATCAGACATTATGTTACAGCTAAAAGCAGCGTATTTTGCCCCATTTTGATCACTATACCTATCAACTCCGATATCCACCAAATTTTTCGGACAGTTGTGAAAGCCCTATTGGAAGGTCGTCGCCAATTTTCAGAATGATTTCATTCAAGGAACCGAAGATATATCCGAATAATACGACAAAATCAACGAATTTGGTCAAATTACGCGACTTTTACAGCTAATTTTGCTCCAAAAGCAAAATTAGCTTGGAGTTTAGTCATTTTCCGATACGAGATTGGGGACGGGTTCTATATTTAACAAACAACAAACACAGTTATTAGATCTTAATTTCTTGCTTTCTCGACCAATCAAAATCAACCAATCACAGCTCGGGTTTACGTATTCATTATAAAGCTCAATCACCACCACGTCTTTTAATTTGTAATACTGGTCCGCGATTACAAGATTCGATTAAATACTCGATTAGAATGACCGTCCACGACTCCACGTGGCAATCAGAACTGCCGCAATGAAGTTAACCGTACTCTAAAGACACTAAGTTAACTCATTAATGTCTGATCCAGCAGACCGCAACTTTTAGTGCGCACCTCTCAAACGCTAATTAGATGGTGGCGTGGATTTGTCGTGCACATTGCAAGAAGTTTAGATTGTGGCGTGACGTACGAGGGGCAGGGGCCGTATTTAAATAGACAGATGGACATTGAGCAGTTTAACGATTGCAAAATCAAATTTCCGAGCATTCCCTCAATCACAATTCTACTAGAATGAGAAGTGAAGTCTCATGAAATTGCTAGATTACTATCTAATTCCAAGCAATATTATGAGATTTCACGGAGCCGCGCTCAGGAGTAAGACACGATTCCCGAATAAAACGGGAAAAATTTGATTTCACAAATTCTAGAATCTTCAGAATTTTTGTCACTAATTTTAAACGTTTCGAAACTCTTCGATTTTATTTTCATTCATAATTATTATGTGAATTCAACAATTTCCACGTGTCGATAAAATATTGTTTCGCAATTGAAACAATGAACAATCACAAACCTTGGGAGCCTCAACTACAGTATAAGTAGATCCTGGAGGAACTTGGAATCCCTGAGTGTAGAACTTGAACTGGTGAATAAGAGCCTCCATAGAGTTTTTCATCTCGTTCGGGAGGGTGGCGAGACTTTAGCGTCGTCTACCTTCACGTCCCCTTCTGGCATGTCGTTCATACACTGAGGAAAGAAGGTTATAGAGAGAGAGAGAGAGAGAGAGAGAGAGAGAGAGAGAGAGAGAGAGAGAGAGAGAGAGAGAGAGAGAGAGAGAGAGAGAGAGAGAGAGAGAGAGAGAGAGAGAGAGAGAGAGAGAGAGAGAGAGAGAGAGAGAGAGAGAGAGAGAGAGAGAGAGAGAGAGAGAGAGAGAGAGAGAGAGAGAGAGAGAGAGAGAGAGAGAGAGAGAGAGAGAGAGAGAGAGAGAGAGAGAGAGAGAGAGAGAGAGAGAGAGAGAGAGAGAGAGAGAGAGAGTTCGCGAACGCGAACTCTCTCCAAACACTAAGCAAGAAGTTGATCACGGTTCATATACAATATCCAAAAAGCAGAACATACCACTTGTGTGACGTCAATGACGTCACACAAGTGGTATGTTTTCTTAACCAAGGTTTAGTTAAGAATACTCAAGCAGCTGCAGCGGGTCCCATAATATGATGTTTAATTTTCTGATCTAGGTATAGTAGGTCCATAATATTTTCTGGTAATCTTGTTTGGATTTTCTTAAATTTTGATTGATTGCGGACCCATGATAACCAGATTGGGCCCTGTTAAATGTTAGGTAGCTGCTTCTGAAGATATTCAATTGTCAGTCACCTGTTTTGGATTGTATTGAACTAATAAAACTTGAATATAAGGTAATATTCACCTCCACGCCGCGGTTATTACGCTTAGGAGAGTCATTTTAACAGCCTACAAGTTGGATCCATCTATCTTCATTTGAAAATACTTTAACTAACAGAACACAGGAAGGGATCACTAATTTTAAATTAAGATTTTATTACAATTAATTATTTATTTCTTGAGTCTTCTTCAGATCAATCCATGTTTTTCAACACATTTGCCATTTTTGATGATGACAACTACATAATACAGTAATAGCCAGTATCCACTCCATCTCCCCTACTAGTTCAGTCTTTGCAACTTGTAGGTTTAACTACATTTCCACGTCCGGTTTACTTTATGGTTTCCTGCAATCTAGTTTGTAAGTAGGCAACCAATCACAGTGAGAGGGTGCAGTTGGGAGCACGTTAAATATAATTTGAATTGAAGAGCGGTTTCAAGAGAAACTGCAATAATCTAGGGAGATCGCAATTTACAGGAAACTTTCAGTTTGGAAACTACCGTATATTTCACTAGTTACCTGGTTAAAAGAAAGGTGTGTATATATAAAAAATCCAACAACGTTTTTATTTCGCCATTCTTTTGGCGGTGGAGATACTCGATATCTTGGTCTGAGCGATCCAACTCGAAGCTGAACCAAGGTATGGTACTTATAAATCGTTTCAAATATTTGGAAATAGTTTTATGTTTTATTTGTGGAACTTAACTTCGAAAAAGCAGTTGACCAAAAACTTTGGCCCCTGGCCGAAATGTTTTAGAGGTCGCATACCCCGAGCTAAACGTTTAAAGGACAGCCACACCCATTTACATTTGCCCCCCATGAAGTGAACTTTGGGGAAAACACTTAAGTAATTCCAGTTTTAGTCAATTGATTAGAAACCCAAAAATGTATTATTTAACATTTTTTGTGACGTTCAGCAAAGTTAGTGGTTTATTTCCCCATTTTAGCTGACGATGAATTACCTCACTACTAACCTAATTTTCACTCACAATCAGAGCAAATAGAGGTCGACATTGGATTCGAGTAAACAAAAGGGACCCACATCTTCATTGTTACCTATATGCCGTAAATCCCAGATTGTCGATATGCAGGATCCATTTGCTAGGACTTAAATCCATTAAGTAACCAATCTGCAGGGCTGACATTTACAATAATGGACAAAATTAATTACAAAATCTTTGGAAGCCATCACTGAGCCCAAGGAGTGTGCTGAACTCCCTAAGTTTGGATGTATAAATAAGAGAGCACCAAGCCTGATGGCTTATAGTTAACGCCTACCATTGTCAACTAGGGGGCTTTAACAAAAACGTGACAGTACCTGTATTGTAGCGTGTTGTTGCGTATGGAGCTATTTTCCATTATGCCCGTGCAGTAAGATTGTGAAATATCAACCATTGTTAACGTTCTTTTGTGATAGTTCGGTTCATTATAATGATGATGGAATTATTGAGAAAGTCATTGCCCGGGCACGATATAGTGACCAATAATTCACTCGACTTTACTTCCAGTTCTCTGTGGCTAGATCAGGTGCTCGTTCGGGAGACCCAGCTCATTCTGAGCAGAGAATAATATTACAATGTTATTTCATTGGAGTCTCATGAGCTGATTTAACGATTTTATCTCAGTCTTAAGTCTCATTTCAGAGAATAGCTGCGAGTTATCTACCATACAATGCTTACCATAAGTTTAATAATTACATTCATATGCTTCATTCACGTATTAAACTATTCTCGCTCTGTTTTGTGATGATAATCATTATACATAGGGTACATAACAATGCCCCGCCACTGCAATTATTGAACTTTCTCATTAACAACAAGAAATCGTTCATTCATAATAATAATAATAAGACCGACTTGTCACAATGGTCCACCATTGTTTTTAGTTTTCTGGTCACGACCCGATGTATTATTCACGTCACGACCTCCGTGTTTATATTGAAAAGTTTTCGACTCTAAGTGGGAAGGCACAGCTTCAGAACTTCTGCAGAAATGCTGCACCCATCCAATGATGGACACAGTCAGCCCTGTTGATCCGTGCTGAACGTGCACAGGTCACCCCAATAGTCAATGCCCACTCTATGCCCACTCTGCCGTCCCACTAAGGATCGCGTTACTGGTCCCCCGGTAATTAGATTGGACAACAATTTATTTAACAAATACCTCACCCCTACATGTGTTCCAACTGCAACAATTTTGTAATCTGTATTGTCATAAATGAGGTTCTCTCTCTCTGATGTCTCTCTCTCTCTCTCTCTCTCTCTCTCTCTCTCTCTCTCTCTCTCTCTCTCTCTCTCTCTCTCTCTCTCTCTCTCTCTCTCTCTCTCTCTCTCTCTCTCTCTCTCTCTCTCTCTCTCTCGCTCTCTCTCTCTCTCTCTGAGGTTATAGACATTAGACAATGACGGGAGTTTCCCAACTCGTCACGTGACTTGTAGCTCTCCGGGGCTATAAATATGGGGGTTGGTCAGTGGATTGCTATGTTTTCTTTTAACGTCTCACAACTACTGTTCTCGTAAGTTTCAGTCACGAATTCGGAAGGGAGTTGCGCAGTTAAAGTGTTATCAGCTGGTCTGGAGTGGTGGGATTGAACCGCGCATTCTCCAGCCAGACTGTTTCAGTATAGCCGGAGTTGCAGGTGTGAAGCAGGCTGAGCTAAACATTTCACTAAACATTTCACTAAACATTTCACTAAACATTTCACTAAGCATTTCACTAAACATTTCACTAAACATTTCACTAAACATTTCACTAAACATTTCACTAAACATTTCACTAAACATTTCACTAAACATTTCACATTTCACGGGGGAATCTCTAAAATTCCTCAAATGTGACCCAGAAGTAATTATTTTAGCTGGTTTTAAATCGCAGTTTGTTTGTAGCAGTTAACAACTTAACAGGCTTGATTGCACTTAGAGAACTTAGAGAACTTAGAGAACTTAGAGAACCTTAAACAGACTTCATTGCGTAGTGGAGATTCTGTAACTGTTTCTCAAGAACAGATTCATTTACCACTCCCACACATTACGCCAACTTTCTCACCCCAAACTCTGCACATCATTGACTTACGACATAAGTTAAACGATAATTCAAATGTGACGTTAATGTCTGGGGGGAAGAGCAGTATTGGTAATTTGTTAAAATTAATTAATTGTTAACGTCGCATTTTTTAGACGATAGTGAACTTTTTATTTTCACTTATCAGGATCCTGACTTATCAATTCGAGTGATTGAAAGAAATTAAGTAGAAAATCAGTTTCGGAATTTGTCATTGTCCGCCACCTTTACACCAGATAAATTAACGCAGAATTACTTAAATCATGCCTGTCCAGAATCTGTAACCGGTATTTAATCTAATCTGGTCATGACAATGCGATTCTCCGACAAATTTAGGGATTTTATATATTTTATATATTTTATATATTTTATATATTTTATATTATATCATGATCTTTCACAACGCCGCCTCATCAGTAGATCTAGTGGCAACTGGCAAGGCATCAGTGAGATTCTAACCTGTTACCTTTCGTCGTGAATGGTTTGAAAATCTTCAAATAAAAGTGGCGAAAATTATTCTCATCATTTTTAAATAGCGAAATATTTTCTTAAATATCTCACCATTGCCCACAAAAGGGCGAAAAGTTTAAAGTTAATTAATACTATAAGTTTTACTTTGTGTTCGAGCTGAAAAATTGTTTAAGGTCCAAATCCGATATAAGGGAAAAAATTGTCATTTTGGCTGTCAAAATGATATTTAGATTCTGCATGAATATCGAATTGAATTTATATTGTTCTTTATTCTTTGAGGCTGCAACTTTATGAAAGATACAATTTAAATTCCAAAATTTCATAAAATGGAATTTTATGGAGAAATTAGAAAAATAGACATATATGCATTTTGGTTCAAGTGTTTTTGCAATCAATCGTTGTTCAAATTGCAACCAATCACAATCACATATCAACGTCCCCATAAGTTCACTCTAGGAGGAAACTCTAACGATAAATTTACAGTACATAGCTATCCGCATAACGATAAATTAAAAGTAGCTGCTTTGATCCAACAGTAAATTTACAGTACATAGCTATCCTCATCGTTGTAACCTGGTAACAGAGGTAACCGAATTTCTTACCACGTCGCGCGTTAGGTAATGCGTCATGTAACAAACTAGTTGGGCTTTTAAAACTTAAAAGGTGAGACAAAAATCAAATAGTAGTTTTGCAGGGAATTAGTGGTGATTGACAGCGGAGACAATTAACTTGGCCAGTCCGCTCAATCCCCCTCCGTAATCAGTTTTACACTTAGCTTTTGTGTTAAAAATACATTATCGTAATTATTTAAGAACCCC